GCATTGAACAGAGCAATCAGATAAGGCAGGAATGGGTGAACTCGATAAATTAATTTATAACGATGCTAGCCGACTGCTTTCCAGGCACAGATGAATTTCGCTGAGAAAAGGAAGGCGCTTTAATCCTACGTCCTTAAACTTTTTAAATATGCAATGAGAGTTTTCAAAGGAAAATAGTAATCACCCTGTGATCCGGTTGGTTAGAGAATTGTGCAGCCAGTTGCTTCCACTTCTCGGTTCCGCAGGCAGTGAAAGCAAGATCAATGTCCTCATGCAGCTGTGACAGTGGATTATTTGGTTTTTCCTTGAGGTTCAGAAATCTCTTCCCGAAGAAGGCTACTTCATTCCAGACGGATACCAGACAGGTGATGATTTGCTTCGCAGGTAATAGAAGGTAGAATAAAAGTTCATATGAACAATAAAGGCATTGGCTTTAAATTGAACTTCCGAAACTTATAGAGCTGCCATGATGGTGACCTCGCATAGGGCTTCCAGGATGTCACTATAGATTTCGAACAACCTCAGGGGAATGAACCCTACTACAACAACTGTTTGGAAAAGTAGTACTTTGCTAAAAAATGATAACAAGCATGAATATTTGCGTGCATGACTTCTACGAAATATTTTTAAATTTTTAAGGCTAGTGAAGATCAATGACTTTAATGTATACTACCTAAGTAACCTTTTTTTCAAAAAATCTTTTTATAGGCGGTCAGAAAGGACTCGCTAAAAATTTGGCATTCTGTACTGACTTAAATGGCTCCACGAAAACCAATATTACACCCAACTTAATGCCGGTTCGGGCATGTTTATTAATATTTCGGAAATTTCGGCATCTTGCATGAAATACCCGGCGTACGGTAGGGCAAGTAAACATTTGTAGTGGAAGTCGACCAAACAACCGGAAGTCATAATAAAGGAATTTATAGTTCGCAATCGTCATTATAAGAAGATTTTTAAAAACCGCAAAATACCGTTTCTTGAAAAAACTTTCTACCAAATGCGTAGAAAATGTTTTTGTGCAAGGTTTAAAGAAAGTATATGTGAATTTACAGGCCATGGATAGTCAGTCGAAAAGATACATACTAATTAAGCAATTATTTTTAAACAGTGTAGATTTTTCAGGCTACTGGAAAGACTGAAAATGAAATGCTTGAAGAGTGTACAACAAATAATGACTGTTATAACGTTAGTTAGGTAATCCTCCCTAAGCTACGACACCTTTCAGAAATATGGTTAACATTGAATTAGATACGACACCTGATGCGTTTGATAACTTAAATAATTATCTTAACCGGCTACCATTCTGATAGAGGGTGCAAACAAATAAAGAAGAAATGGTCGATACGTCCAGGATTAGTGAAAACAAATGATGGCAGAGGTAAGTGTTAGGGGCAAGCCCAACAATAAATTTTCACGTCACCCTGCTTACTCATCCAACGGTGCACTATCGATCGATACAAGCCGCGTGGAGTAATGAGATCGATGAAGCCGCCTCCCGTGATTAGTGTTCTGACTATCACTCGCGAATCAGACGGGGCGAGAACTACTGGAGGCCTGGATATCAGACTCCAACTCCATCAACAGGTATGTGGATATGCCATCCTGTTACTTTGCAATTCGCTCTTGCAGCCAGAAACCACAGCCCCGTTCCCATCCAATCACGCCGGCTGCCACGTCAAGGTCACACGCCACAACTCCAGGGAGGCGCGCGGGCTACACATGATAAGATGCCGTGAGCATGGACGTG